TTCCTATTTCTTTCTGCCATTTAACAGAATAGAAAGAAATATTCTCTTCTCTTGTTTTACTCAATCTACTATTCAAATCCCATGTTCCATAAAAACTTCCCTTAAGTGTAGTCCTATTAAAACCTTGTAATGTTGTGTAATTGTGAAAAATCAATGGCTGGTTCATACATCCTTTGCCAAAACATGGAAATCTGTTATCTGGACCATATGGACCTATTTTTTGACCGTTTTTCGGACATTTCGCAGCATAAGTATCCATATTTCCATTTTTAAGCATGATCATCCAAAATTGCCATGGTTTTGGCTTGTCTTGAACTTCACATTTTGATCCCAAATAGAGTTCTTTTTGTGCTGCATATTGGTCAATATCAAGAATTGCCTTTTTCTCCAATCCAAGAAAAGGTTTTCCTATCCCTAACCTGTTTTCCTCCTCTGTCACTCTATGTACCAACATGTATGGTATTGCACTGCAAAGTGAACAATTATTTGCCCCTGTAAAGCATAGCCATTAAATCACAAGACAACCTAAATGATTGGAAAAAAAAATATGCGAAAGTGACACTGTATAGTCGCTCTCAAAATAATAGCCGATATATATATATTTTTTGTATATATACATTCTGTATGTTATATACAAAAATTATACAAATTTTATACACTTTTTCGGCTACCGAATGTAAATAATTTCTAGAGCGGGTTGAAAGTGAAAAAAGCCCTTGAAATAAGGAACTCAACTCGAAGGCAGACCTAGAGTGTTAGGAGTCAGTTCAGCTTAACTTATTATTAGCATAGACTATAAGGGGTCGTTTGGTTACTAGAATTAGGATTATAATCTCGGGATAGAATTTGAGATTGTATTTATTCCATCTTTGGTTACTGGTATTAGCTAATATCGGTACAAATTTTATAACAAAATGGTGGTATTAACTATTCCAAATTGGATGCGGGATTGACGACCCCAAAATTATAATCATGGGATTGTTAATCCTTGTATATCCCACTTTGTAACCAAAAGACCCCTAAATATATATATATGTAAAAAAAACCAAGAAAAGTAGTTTAAAGATTAAGTGTTGAACTCATATTTTGAAAGAACGCACAATCTTTGAACGTTATTAAGTTTAAATTCTGAATCCGGCTCTGAACATCAACTGACCTTGTGATTGAGGAGAAGCTTTATAGACATCAAAGCAATCAGCAGCTCTTGGACTGCCCATTTTAGTTACTTCTTCTCCAACTTCATTGCATTGATTCCATGCTTCTATTGCAACTCTTAGCCCATCCCTTCTCATCCCTGGATCGCCCACGGCCGAGATGTAGTCATTTCCATTAATACTTAAAGAAGAAACTACAGAAAAAGACACTAATTTGATTGCAAGAAGAGAAAGAAAAATAAACCAAGAACAAGAAGAAGTAACATGTTGAGCCATTGGTAAGTTTTTTAGCCTATGTACAGCTTGCTATAAATACAAAACCATGGACAACTACAAAAGGAAGGACATTATTTTAAAATGTGTACTGTAGTTTAGATTTCTATGTGAAATTGACAACTACTCACTTTATTGTTTCATTAACTTTTTAAAGCCAACTTCTTTGAACATCTGTCCTTCCAAAAAAAAAAAACAGCAGTGGCCTAAGGATTTTGTGCTAATAGGTCGGTAAATAGGATTTTTTGATAGTTCGTCGCTAAATAGGATTAACGACAGGTTATTGCTGTTTGGAGACGAAATTTTTCCATCGTTAATTTCTATTATTTTTTTTGTTGTAGTGTTTTCTCTTGTCATAACTACTGTGATTATACTTTCATTAAACTGGAGTGTATCGGAAATAGCCTATTTACCCAACGGGAATCTAGTATTTAAGTTTTATGGGTTCAATATTTAAAGTTTTTAACATTGAACTCATTGTATTTTTAAAGTTATGGGTTCATATTGTTATATATTAATTAATATTAGTAAATTTTTATATATAAATTTATGCACCGCGTCAAAAGTACAGTTGAACCTGGTGATGATACATTGCACCGCCTCTGTTTTTACCTTTACAAAGTAGGGATAAAGTCTGCATACATACAATTCTTTTCCGATCCCGCTTGTGAAATTTCACTAGATATATTATTTTTGTTGTAGTGTTTTTACCTTTGGTTTACGACTATACAAGGGATTGTAAATTATGCTATGCAGCTGGTTTTGTTGTTGACATTTGCTCCACTTTTCTCATGATTGGTTAGGTTCCAACTTGATTTTGCAATCAATGTTTTAAAGTATCTTTTTACCAAAACCTCTGAAAAGAAAGGTCCAATTGTCAGCAACATCACCTAACAAATTAGATGTTGACTGCCTTATCTTTCTGTGAACTAATATACGTTCACTTTAACTGTTTTGTGGACTTAACTAGAAATTTATTGATCCAACTCAAAAGCAATGGAGGGAAAAAGAAAACTTTGTTCTCTATTTCACATGTATATTAAAACAAGTTTCTATTTGAAACATAAATATACAAGTAGACAATCACTAATTTCGACAAATATTCCTTAATTTTAAAAGTGTAATGGGTCCGGTGGTACAAAATTTAAAGATTGAGACCGTAAAATTTAAATTTTGGATCCGTCCGGAGATGGCAAGAACTTGTTGAGGAAGAAAAATGGGAATTCTTGAACTCAAAGGATGCTTTTTATCATGTTAGAGGTAACAGAAAGTACAAGTATCGTGTTTTAGATAACTTAAGATGCAAATATTCTTTTCCAAGAAAATACTAAACTTTGAGAATTTCTTTGGTTTTTCTGAACTTTATATTACCAAATCCAACCCCACAAGAAGATAGGGTAGATGGAGCACCATTATTGATCATATATCCATTTGAGGATGTCTTTAGCAACTCCACTTTGAACCATTTGCTATAGGATTGGAATTTTAGGCTCTTTTCATACATTAAAACACCATTTGGCAAGGTTCCGACAAAAAGATAGATCTGAACTAACATAATTATTATAATTTAAGTTTTTCGATGAGAAAAGGGGATTATCCTATGATACGGTGTAGAGGAGCGTGTCAGAAAAATGGACATGTGAAGTAAGTAATGGTTAAATCTTCCACCACAAACCCTCTGAAGCAAGGATACACACGACTTAATTTATTTTTCTCCAGATTAAATTCTTAATTTTATATGTAACCATTATTTATTAACATCATATTTTGAGTAGAACTTTATAACATTCTTGATGTGTTAGAATTGAATGGTATCTATTAAACTTATTATAATTTGATTGTTGTTATTCAAATGTTTCAGTTAACGCCGTATCACTTGTACAGAGAATTTTGCCAACCAAAGATAATTTGCGACTCAAAAAAAAAACCTTTCCTTTTAGTTCGGTTTCCACGTAAGCTTCTATGGTGCACCTATTTGCAAATGATACTGTGTTGATTGAACAATGAGGATGTCAAACAAAATTTTGAATTGTGGAAAACACTTTAGAGATTATTAACATATACTTAATTATGGTTACACCTCATACGGGATGTAAGTGTAAAATTTTCATAGTATAAGGAATGTAAGTGTTTAATTTTATAATATGGGAGATTTATTCGAAATTGAGTCATATAATATAGGGGTGTTTAGTGTAATTGACCCTTAATATAACATGTTGTTTAGTAATAAAGTGAAAATTTTATATTTCTTTTACCATCAAGAATCTTGAAGGGGAGTCTTGGCGTAACTGGTAAAATTGTTGTCATGTGACTAAGAGGTCACGGGTTCAAGCCGTGGAAACATACTCTTGCAGAAATACAGGGTAAGGTTATGTACGATAAACCTATATGGTCCGTCCCTTTTCCGGATCCCGCACGCATGACGAGAGCTTAGCACACATGGTGCCTTCACCGTCAAGAATCTTATGCTTTATGGTCTAATAAATTGTTGACTCAAACAGCTCTACGCAACTTCATAGACAACTAGACAACCAATCACTCTCTTTGCTTAGATATGTTTTTGGCCTTTTTTGTTTCTCAAAGGCCAAACAGAGCATCAAATATTTGACTGCTATTATTTCCTTTTGATAGGAAGATAGTAATTTCAGACAAAGACCAATTACTTAGTTTAAGAGCCCACCTTTGAAGACTAACTAACAACCCCCACCACATGGTTTTACCCCATTCTTTTGCTCTCTGTGTGTACAAACTTCTCCACAATGAAAAAAGTTAAAAGTAATGGGTGAATAATACTGGGCTGGTTTTAGCATCTAAGGCATTCCAAGATTTTCACATAAAAAAAAAAAAAAAGG